CGAATTTACAGGTTACGAGATTTGACATGATAGTGTATCGAAAAACTGGCGCAACCCTCCTCATCTTACTTTAAAAGCACGTTGCTAAACAGCACACAAAACGGATACAAACAAATTTGAAGAAAAACCACTTACATTGGTAACGCACGCAATCGGCCTTCTTCACCAGTGGTACACCAAAAGGGTTTGATTTGAAAGATTCCGAAAATTGATTGAGAATTCCCATTTTGCTCCGGTATTTTACTCCAGAATTTTACCTGTAAACAGAGGATGAAACACAAGCTTCTAATAGCAAATGTGGACGCATCGATAAGATACCACGACGATAATCTGCAAAAAAAAAACAGCATTTAACACGATAAAATAGGCAAAAACAGCAAAAAAAAGTGCTCGGTGGGGATGTTCAGGCTCCATCCTGGTGCAATCCGAAGGCAACAGCAGATCGAACTTTTAGACATAAAATGTAAAAAATGAGTTACAGGAGTGCGAAATTTGGCATGAAAGGCAGGAAATTATGCAGGAACAGTAAAAATTTTAACAAAAACAGCACAAAGCCTAGCAAACGAGGCAAAAAAAAAATTTACCAGAATGCTTCAAAACTGTACTGGAAACGAAACAAAAAATCGTGTACAGAGTAAAAACACCCTAATCTGAATAAATATGACCAAGACTGCAAGGGAATGTGACCAGTGAGGAGTGGTCACTCGGAGTGAGAAGCCAATTTAGCCAATGGTCGCTAAATTTGGATAAATTTGGTCCCATTGCTGGTCTGTTTGGTACGATCAATTATCATGTCACGAGTTGCCCGCAATTACTCATCCTGTAACTGTTTGCAGTGAAAAATGGCAATGTTACTGCACAGTAAAACATAAATATTCGAGCGTCGCGACCAGTGACTGATGAGGCAACAACACCAAGCAAAAATGCATTCTTCCGTGATGTGATACAGTGACTGTGTAAAACACAAATTCCAACACATACTTAGTGTTGCGTTGTATGGAAGTGAAACATGAAATACCATGAAGACTGCTGAGTTGCGGGGGAAAAAATAAACGGTGATCCAAAAAGCGATACAGCGACTTGCAGCAGCAAGCTGATGCACCGCTCCAGTGCCACAGGCGGATCCAAGACAGACTCCTGGATCGAGCGAGGGGGGAGGGGAAGCGAAGGTGGGTGGGGAGGGGAGCTATGCAAAAACTGGAACTATGCAAAAACTAGGAAGAGTTGTAACATACTGTTACTTAGAGTTACTTTAGGCTTTAGTTTTAGCTTTAGATCGGGGCATTTGCAGCACTGGTGCCTGTTCCGCTTGGAGACAGGGGAGATGAAGGAGCGGGGACGAAAGACCCATTGTCCCCCTGAATCGGCCCAAGTCCAATGCAGTGCTGAGGCTCTGAGCTGGTGCAGGAGAATATTATCTAGGCAGTGTACGCCAAGAAGCAGTCATTTGGCAAAAATGGGAGACAATAGATGGAAAAAGCGGAATACTGAGTGGTACTCATGCAATGGTGGGAAAACACGATAAAGAATCGCCAATGCGGCGAGTGGAACGGCTACAAGGCTCAAAATGAAGGTGAAATGGAGCAGTTTGAAAGGTCAATTAGTGGCGAGAAGGAAAACAATAACGACGAAAAAACAGCCGAATGATGCTGAAGAAGTACACCACTTGAACTGCATACTTGAAAACCGATCGAGTCCACAACGTATGCCTACAACGAAGGAACCCACATCTTTGCGCCTGCCTGCTCCAAAATCCTTGCCCGCGTCACGTCACGAAGGGCTGATGGATGACGTAAATGCAGCAAAAGTGCCTGGATTGAGGCACACAGACACGACTCGAGCACCTCAAGCGGAGCTGGCGGCTGACGAGTGCTGAAGGACGCCCGGATCGAGCAGCTGTAAGACTCACCCCCCTTCGCCCTAACAAACGACGAATCGATTGAAGCGAATGATCTTCCGTTGCATTCGTTCACCTGAGCGGCGGCTGGACTTCTCTCTTATCCGTTCGCTCCCGAGCACCGCGCTCCTTCACGTATACGGATTGGCGACGGAAAACCGCGCCGCGCCTTGACCACGGATTCCGACGACCAGCAGCTGGGCACTTCTCACCACCATAGGCGGATCCCCGGAGCGCAGCGGCGGGTCTTTCGCCATGGTCACAATCACTAATGCTGCAAAAGCCGGGGTCTAAAGCTAAAACTAAACTAAACTAAAACTCAAACTATCTTCAAACTAAAGTAACGCTAAGTAGCAGTGTGTTACAACTCTATTCCTAGCTTTTTGCATAGTTTCAGAGTGATAGTGGCTTTTCCTCCTCGTTGCCCGTCGCCCCCCCCCCCCCCCCCCCCCCCCCCCCCCCCCCCCC